GACGAGGTTCCCCCTCCTGGGGCGAACATCGTCGATGGCATGTGGATTTTCAGGGTGAAGCGGCCGCCAGGTTCTCCGCCTGTCTTCAAGGCTCGTTACGTTGCTAGAGGCTTCAGTCAGCGTCAGGGGGTCGACTTCTTCCAGACCTTCTCCCCCACCCCGAAGATGACCACTCTTCGGGTTCTGCTGCACGTTGCTGCTCACCGTGACTACGAGCTTCACTCTCTTGACTTCAGCACAGCGTTCCTGCAGGGCAGCCTGCACGAGGAGATCTGGCTGCGCCGCCCACCTGGCTTTACTGGGTCGTTTCCCCCTGGTACCCAGTGGAGTCTCCGCCGGCCAGTCTACGGTCTCCGCCAGGCGCCACGTGAGTGGCACGACACACTGAGGACTACTCTTGCGGCTCTTGGGTTCGCGCCGTCTACTGCTGACCCGTCGCTGTTTCTGCGCACAGACACGTCGCTGCCGCCGTTCTACATTCTCGTGTACGTCGACGACTTGGTCTTTGCTACTGCTGACACTGAGGCACTCGCTCGTGTGAAGTCGGAGCTGCAGAAGAGACACACCTGCACTGACCTGGGTGAACTGCGTAGCTACCTTGGCTTGCAGATCACCCGGGACAGAGCTCGCCGCACCATCACCCTGACTCAGTCACACATGGTGCAGCAGGTCCTTCAGCGCTTCGGCTTCCAGTTCTCCTCACCACAGGCCACACCTCTGGCTACCAGCCACTCGCTCTCAGCTCCACCTTCGGACGAGTCCGTAGAGCCGAGTGGCCCGTACCCAGAGCTTGTAGGCTGCCTCATGTACCTGATGACTTGCACGCGACCTGACCTCGCGTACCCTCTTAGCATCCTTGCTCGTTACGTTGCGCCTGGGAGACACAGGCGAGAGCACTGGGAGGCTGCTAAGAGGGTGCTGCGTTACCTGTGCAGTACATCAGGCATGGGGCTGGTGCTTGGAGGACGCGACAGAGTTGTCCTCACTGGTCACTCGGACGCCTCTTGGGTGGACGACCTGGCTACGCAGCGGTCGTCACAGGGTTACACCTTCAGCCTTGGCTCTGGTTCTGTCTCGTGGCGGTCCACCCGCTCTTCCTCTGTTCTCGGCTCTAGTTGTGAGGCTGAGATCTACGCCACAGCCATGGCTGCACAGGAGTTACGCTGGCTCACCTACCTGCTGACTGACTTGGGAGAGCGGCCTAGTTCTCCTCCAGTTCTGTACGGTGACATTAAGGCGGCTCTTGCCTTGTGTCAGGAGCACAGACTGGAGCACAGGACGAAGCACATTGCTCTTCGCTACTTTCTTGCTCGAGAGCTTCAGCAGCGCGGTCAGCTTCGGCTTGTGTACGTGGACTCGAAGGCCAACACTGCTGATATCTTCACCAAGGCGCTCCCGCCTAGTGATCATCAGCGGCACTGTACTTCTTTAGGCCTTGTGTCCACGTTTCCTCACTTGCTCACTGCTTGACATTCTTTGTACTGTACTTTATATATATCTTGTTGCTTGCTTGCTAGGTTTTGATCACTGTGTTGCTTGTCTTGTACTATATCTAGCACTGCATGTGAACTGGCCTTGTGGCCTTTACTTGTGCTCGGAGTGTGGTGACGTTGTGATCCACCCTGGGCGTTGCTTTGCTTTGCTTTGCTTTGCTGGACTGGTCTTGTGACCCTTTGTTCTCCCCCACTTTGCCTATGGGGGTGTGTTAAACTGTAGTATGCTTGTAGGCTGTAGTGGGGTAGCCAATATGGGGTACAACCCCAACTAGGGTTTCATATTTGTACCCAAACTTCTGCTAGTTCATCATTCTTGCCTAGTGATTCTGATAGTGCACACCCTGAAATACATTCATACATACATACATATATATATGTTTATATATATTTAATAGTGTTGAAAGGGCACCCTTAAAACCATTCTTTTGTCCCTGCCCCCACCCTGTATGGGGGAGTGCGGGTAACGACTAGCCAGGCTTGTCGGTAAGGTCGGATGCGTTTTCACCTACCGAGTAATCTCTTTTTCACACCAGCAAGGCAGTGCCATGGCTGGTGGAGGGGTGTCGCATGCTTTGACTATTGCTCGATCGAGCAGCGCTGGCATCGTAACAATCATTCCGTTCCGAACGAGGCTGGGAAATAAAGCTTTCCCATCAAGCATCGCAGCAACCATTGGCAGCAAAATGCCCGTTTCGTGGCAGCCAGACTCTTGCGCAGTTTGCTAGGGTTGAGCGTGCAAAGTGGTTGACTGTTAGTATGGTTGATATTGCCTGTCAATGTCACCAACGGTTGGTTGACTGTTCCCAGCATGCGAACAAACCGCGTTGTCTGTCTCGACGGAACATCTCGTCGTCGCTCGCTTACAAGGGAGTTGACCGAGCAATATTGCTAAGAGGCGTCTGAAGTGGACCTCACATCTCTCGGATGATCCCTCGAAATCATGGTATCTTTCGGAGATCCCTCAATCCGAGAATTGCCAAAAACTACGTTCGAGATCAGTACTACCGTCTTTCATCTCATCGCCAGTCAGTGATATAAGGACATAGTAAGAGCTCTAGACATGGTTACGTGTTTGTGAATCCTGGGAGTGAATAGCTTGCTCAAACACAAGAATCATTCACCGCCGCGAGGACCCCAGCGCCGCGGCAACATTCCAAAAATGCCCCCCCTCGAAAAGTATGGTTTCGGGGGGTATGCCAGAAGTAACAATTTGAGTTGAGCGGGAAAACATACTTTCGACGCGTCGCGTCGAAACCAAACCCGCCCATGCAGCTTCGGAACTCAGGAAATCACTTGGGCAACAAGTGTGGCAGCTCCCGATTCGTTGAGGAGCCACGTCTGCAGCTTCGACTTAACATTCCAGCCTCGGATCCCCCCACCGTGACACCCCGTCTCCCATTGGCTCTGGGGTGAGAACTGCACTGCTGTGTTGGCACTCGAAAATTGTAATATTGGTACATCATGATTGGAAACACTGAACTTGCAACATATAAGTTTATAGTACGAGGGTTTAGCTTTGATGTGTTCATGAAGATTGAAAAATGTAGTAGTACATGTCTACTGCCCATTACTGCATTTCGTGAATTTCCGATAATATTGTCCATTACATTTATCAAAATATAATATTCCTAATCCCGTAATATGACTTGTACTTACATAGTTTTAATTCATACGGTATACATTTATCATGGTAAGCCAAATGTTTGGTTGATAGGAAGGTTATACTGTCTGGTTTTATTATCATTCGAATGTGCTTTGTATGGTTAGACAAGTGTTAGTGACACAACACGGATGAAACGTGTTGAAGGATAGCCAGTTCTGTCATGTCCTTATCGCTAATTTAGTACCCTGTTAGTATTTTATACTCCCTTACATCTTGACCAATATACTGTACTATGTATCTAGGTGAAAGGATCCGGGTTTGACATCGTTTGCAGCTGATTTGGATAGGTAAATGAGAATCCGTGCGCAAAACGCGTTTAGGGTTTGTTTTAACGGTAGCCAGTTATATCACTAAGGTTTTTTTTCCCCGACCAATAGCCTCCACTATGTATCTAGGTGATACTATCCGGATTTGTGATTATTCGCCACTGATTTGGATACGTAAGCAAGTGTCCATGCGCAACACAAGTCAGATCTGTACAAGGATAGTCAGGCATCACACTGTCAGCAGTTTAGTTCCCCGTATGTATTTTTAACTCACATTTCTTTCAACCAATTGTCTTTACAATGTATCTAGGTAAGACTAACAAGATTTGATACTATTCTAAGTTGATTTGGATAGGTAAACAAGCGTCCGTGCGCAACACGGGTCAAATCTGTGCACGGATAGCTAGTCATCTCACTGTGAACAGTCGAGTGCCTTGTTTGTATTTTGGACTCCCGCTACTTTCAACAAATAGCATTACCAATGTATCTAGGTTAGTATAACAAGTGTTGAGATTATTCACCATAGGTAAGCAAGCGTCCGTGTGCAACACGTGTCAAATCTGTACAAGGACAGCAAGTCATCTCACTGTCAGCGGTTTAGTTCCCTGTTTGTATTTTCAACTCTCGCTCCCTTCAACCAAGAGCCTTTACAACGTATCTAGGTAAGACTAACAAGCTTTGAGATTATTCGCCGCTGATTTGGTTAGGTAAACAAGCGTCCTCGTGCACAGCGGGTCGAATTTGTGCAATGATAGCCAATCATCCTACTATCAACAGTTTAGTGCCTTGTTTGGAGTTTTAACTCTCGTTTCTTGCCGCAAATAGCCTTTACAATCTATGTAGGTTAGTCTGACAAGCGTTGAGATTATTCAAAGCCTTTTCATTCTTGAATTTCCCCTACTCTAGTGTTTGCCAGAACATGGCTTCCCACCTGGTAGTTTGAATTCTGGTCCAGATTGCCAAGTCATGTCATTATCAGCAGTGTCGTGCCATGGTACGTCACCATATCTTCATGAAATGTTGTCTACATGGGACCGTCTACATTTGAGGTCAGTCGCCACTAATTTGGGGAGCCATACAATCGTCATTGCGTGGAACGGGTTCAATAAGTTCAAGGATAGCCAGTCATGTCCATATGAGCTGTTTGGTGGACTGGTTAGTATTTTTTACCCCGTTTCTTGAACTTATAGCCCTTACAATGTATTTGGTTGGAGACTCATGTCTTAATATCCATCACGTATGATTTTGTTAAGGTAGACTAGCGTCCGTGCGCAATACAACGACGACGACGACATCAACAATAGCAGCAACAGCAGCAGCAGCAGCACCAGCAGCGGCAGCAGCAGCAACAGCAGCAGCAGCAGCATTTGCTGCAGCTGTTGTTGCAGTAGCCACAACAACAACAATCAATTGAAACAACAACAACACTAGCAACACCAACATTGCACTATGAGACACAACAACACATGAAGATGTCAGACTATATGGGTTATCTTTTTGTAGGCTGTAGTGGGGTAGCCAATATGGGGTACATAACTGCTAGGGTTTCATACTTGTACCCAACTCTGTTCTAGTTCAATCATTCCTGTCTCTAGTTTCTGACATGGTTTCAGAGCAGTAGGTCCGTAGGACCGTTTTTTTTTTTTTTTTTTTTTTTTTTTTTTTTTTTTTTTTTTTTTTTTTTTTTTTTTTTTTTTTTTTTTTTTTTTTTTTTTTTTTTCCCGGGCCCACCTAACGTTGTGGTTATTGGGCTGCCCCACGTGTTGCCTGCGCTGCGCCGCCCGCGCGCGCCTTGCCTTGCCTGCACTGCGCTGCCCGCGCGCGCCTTGCCTTGCCTGCGTTGCGCTACCCGTGCGCGCCTTGCCGTGCCTGCGCCTTGCCTTGCATTGCCTGCGCCTTGCCTTGCCTTGCCTGCGCCTTGCCTTGCCTTGCTTGCACCTTGCCTGCGCCTTGCCTTGCCTTGCCGAAGCGGTGCCATTGCCTTGCCTGCGCCTTGCCTTGCCTTGCCTGCGCTGCGCTGCCCGCGCGCGCCTTGCCTTGCCTGCGCTGCTCGCGCGAGCAAACCCTAATTCTGCGCGCAGCACGCTGCTGCCCCGCGCGCGCAAACCCTACTTCTGCGCGCAGCTCGCTGCTGCCCCGCGCGTCGCGTCCGCCGCCTGCGCAGCCCGCTGCTGCCCCGCGCGTCGCGTCCGCCGCCTGCGCAGCCCGCTGCTGATTCGGAATGACTACGCTTGAAACCAGATGAAACCAGATGCACCTCTGCATGTGCTAATTTATATTGTTCTTGGAATTATTTTTATTTGTCGGTATTGTTTGTTGTGCTAGCAATACATACGATGGTATGAACAACCATCCATACAAACATCAAACGAGGTATCCCTATGTGCTACTGCAAAACTTCAAACATATGCATAGGGCATGCTTCCAACAACTGACGGCACATATCACTATGAATAGATGCTTTTGAAGGCGAATAATGGTATCCTACATAGTTGTTCCCTAACTACTGATATTTCAATGCATCGGAAAGGTTTAAGATGCAGCAAAATGGTTTAAGAGGGTTATTGAAGAGTCATGATAGGACCTAACAAGATGGACAGATCGCAAAATAGATCGAGTGTCGATGAGGTAATAACGCAGATGCACGGCTCGGTCAAAAAGCTTGACGCATTTTGTCTTCTCGTCCTCCTCATTGGTCTCATACAATCGCACAAAGGCGAATGCTTCGGGTTCACCACTAGCTCGTCGAATGTCAACGTGGAACAACATTAGCAAATCCGCATATGATGTGATGTTTTCAGGCTCCCCGTTTGGTCCAACAGTGGTCTGCAGTAAAGCAACACGTGAGAAGGCAGGTGCCCCATGAAAGCTCGGAGTTGCTCGTACGTAGTGTGCAGCACGCTCTCCGCTTGAAGGGATGGCGAGAGCGGTGTGGACCTGCATGGGTTGATGGGTTTGGGGGAACATTTTTAGAGAACAAGGAAAATTATGCAACATTGGAGGGAAGATGGACGAATTCGTAGAGGAACACAAATTAGAAGAGAAAACAAGGCCTGCGGGACCGAGTCATTGGTGCTTAGAGTTCTTACATGAACAGCTTGCACCGTAATGCCCAACTCGGCAATACATGATTGCAGATACCGCATGCCCTCTGGGTGACACTGCTCAAAACTCCTCCACACGGCTGTCCCCTTCTTGGATGGGTCTCCAAATGGCATGCAGACTGTGTCGTACGTGGAGGTGAGGACGCTTGAATGACTACGGTCCGCCTGTGGACATATCAAATTAGTAAACGTTGTAAGGGGAACAACGTGAATGTATGATGCCTTGGCTCATTAGGCGCACAATGAATATGGGCATATTGCTGATTCAGAACAAGGGAGCTTGAAGGCCTTATTGACTCACCTTTAGGAGAGCAGTATCGTAAGTTGCTGGCCTAGCAAGAGCCGAAACTCGTGTGCTCAGCATGTATCTCAGCCGGATATTGCGCAAGATTGTTTCATCGTACTGGCGATAGTTGGACCCACGGAAGGGTTGTTTGCATGTTGTTGTGTGAGCATGCTCGTACAGGCTTGTGCAGTACTCATTCGGGGCACCACCAAGTCGAATAGCATCTGGAAAATGGGTGAGCAGATGGATTTTCACCAAATCCCACCCATCTCCATCGCGTTTTACTTGCGTTTGCAATAGGCGAACCAATCTGGAGTGCATGAACGGGGTATTGGAAAAGAAACCGGTGCAAAAGATATGGTTATGGAAAAACATGTATGCACAACGACGTTGAAAGGCGCAAACTTGTGGCAGGAAAACGTACTCTTGGGTAGCGTCGACGTACTCATCCAGCATCGCCTCCGGGTACTCTTCTGCTCGGAAATATTTGTCAAACCATTCGACAAACTTGCGCAAGACACGCATGTGGGCGTCCGTGATTAAGCCTTCCATCAACACCACGGCGACCTGCCACAAAATACCACCAAGAAAAAAAACATAAATGGTTTGTGAGAGTGGGGGGTCGAGGAAAAGAAAGGGGGGGGAACAGCTTTAAAGTGGGGTAGGGTGGGGGGGGGAGGGAGGAGGAGGGGGGGGGGGAGTGGGGGAGAGAGGGGGGGGGGGGGGAGGGAGGTGTTAGAAAGCAATATTAGTGGATACATGATCACAAAGGCACAAACAGCCTTCACACTAATCTCCCTCAACATAACCACCCACACTCCCTCCTCGTGTGCATCAAGAATAGGGTTTTGGTAATGTATTACATTCCTCTCATCAATTCCACATTTAGTAACACCTTACCTACACTCTCACACCCACGGCCCATGGTAGCTCTCTCGCCCTTAACACGAGAGCCCCCTTATACACCCGATACTCCGCCTCTCTACCTCCCCCAGATATTGTATAGGGTCACATCCTACAGCAATGGCAACTGATGCAGTAATCCGCTATCCCTATTTACCTCCCCACTTCGCTCCGCACCCTTGCTGACAAGCCCATCCCCTACATCACATACCAGGCCACCACTCACCCTCAGGTTTCAAGCCCATCCCCCACCTTCACATGCCAGGGTGCTACTCCCCCTCAGGTTACAAGCCCATTCCCTACCTCACATACCAAGCATGCTACATTCAATCAGGTTACAAGCCCATGCCCATCTCTTACCTCACATACCAGGCCACCACTCTCCCTCAGGTTTCTAGCCCATCCCCTACCTCATATACCAAGCCATTACTCTCCCTCAGGTTACAAGCCCATTCCCTACCTCACATACCAAGCATGCTACCCTCAATCAGGTTACAAGCCCATGCCCATCTCTTACCTCACATACCAGGCCACCACTCTCCCTCAGGTTACAGGCCCATTCCCTACCTCACATACCAAGCATGCTACTCTCCCTCAGGTTTCAAGCCCATTCCCTATCTCACATACAAAGCATGCTGCCCTCAATCAGGTTACAAGCCCATCCCCTACCTCACATAGCAGGCCACCATTCTCCCTCAGGTTTCAAGCCCATCGCTTACCTCACATACCAAGCCATTACTCTCCCTCAGGTTACAAGCCCATGCCCATCTCTTACCTCACATATCAGGCCACCACTCTCTTCCAGGTTCCCGAAACCATTCCCTGCCTCACATACCAAGCATGGTACTCTCCCTCAGGTTACATGCCCATGCCCATCTCGTACCTCACATACGAGGCCACCACTCTCCCTCAGGTTACAGGCCCATGAATCTACCTCACATACCAAGCATGCTACTCTCCCTCAGGTTTCAAGCCAATTCCCTATCTCACATACCAAGCATGCTACCCTCAATATGGTTACAAGCCCATCCCTTACCTCACATACCAGGGTGCTACTCCCCCTCAGGTTACAAACCCATTCCCTACCTCACATACCAAGCATGCTACCCTCAATCAGGTTACAAGCCCATGCCCATCTCTTACCCCACATACCAGGCCACCACTCTCCCTCAGGTTACAGGCCCATGAATCTACCTCACATACCAAGCATGCTACTCTCCCTCAGGTTTCAAGCCAATTCCCTATCTCACATACCAAGCAGGCTACCCTCAATATGGTTACAAGCCCATCCCTTACCTCACATACCAGGGTGCTACTCCCCCTCAGGTTACAAACCCATTCCCTACCTCACATACCAAGCATGCTACCCTCAATCAGGTTACAAGCCCATGCCCATCTCTTACCTCACATACCAGGCCACCACTCTCCCTCAGGTTACAGGCCCATGAATCTACCTCACATACCAAGCATGCTACTCTCCCTCAGGTTTCAAGCCAATTCCCTATCTCACATACCAAGCATGCTACCCTCAATATGGTTACAAGCCCATCCCTTACCTCACATACCAGGCCACCACTCTCCCTCAGGTTTCTAGCCCATCCCCTACCTCATATACCAAGCCGTTACTCTCCCTCAGGTTACAAACCCATTCCCTACCTCACATACCAAGCATGCTACCCTCAATCAGGTTACAAGCCCATGCCCATCTCTTACCTCACATACCAGGCCACCACTCTCCCTCAGGTTACAGGCCCATTCCCTAGCTCACCTACCAAGCATGCTACTCTCCCTCAGGTTTCTAGCCCATTCCCTCCCTCATCGGCTCGTATCATACCCGCCCTATCTCTCACGTCCTCATTGTAGGCCACTACTCTCTCGCAACATACACCATTCGTGTCAGGCATTTTGCCCTTATCACTGTCCAGATTGGCCATCATACCTTCATCATCGCCGCATGCTCTGCAGCCGAGTAGTTGGCACCCAGGGAGAAGTAGTTCCGCGGTGGCGGACTCTTCACCCCCGCAAGGAGGATGTCCTTGTACGAATCTCGGTGCCGCCTGTTAAAAGGCGCAAGAAAACATGGTCAAATCGATGGTAGATAGGTCCAAGAATGCAGTTCATCGCGCATTTGTATGGATACTTACTTGTTGGCCTGTTTCCCACATTTATTTGCGAGAACGATGGACTCCAAAATGTACAGCCATATGCCGATCAATATGACGTGTAAGATATCCGGTTTGATGATGCGGTAAGGGTTGCCCCACGGTTGCGCCCGATCCTCTGCTCTTCCAAAAGTCCATAAAAAACACCGCATGGAAACCGTAAATGCAAAAGAATTTATCTGCATCCTTCACGCAAGGGATGGAGGCATGGTCAATTCTTAGACCCCATGCCGGGCTGGTCATAGCATGGGAGGGCCTACATGGGGAGGGCAGAGCAGGGGAGTGCAAAGAAGGTGAGGGCTGAGCACGTGATTGCATACAAGGGGAGGGCAGGGCAGGGGAGTGCAAAGAAGGTGAGGCCTGAGCATGTGATTGCATACAAGGGGAGGGCAGAGCAGGGGAGTGCAAAGAAGGTGAGGCCTGAGCATGTGATTGCATACAAGGGGAGGGCAGAGCAGGGGAGTGCAAAGAAGGTGAGGGCTGAGCATGTGATTGCATACAAGGGGAGGGCAGGGCAGGGGAGTGCAAAGAATGTGAGGCCTGAGCGTGTGAGTGCATACAGGGCAGGGGAGTGCAAAGAAGGTGAGGGCTGAGCATGTGATTGCATACAAGGGGAGGGCAGGGCAGGGGAGTGCAAAGAAGGTGAGGCCTGAGCATGTGATTGCATACAGGGGAGGGCAGGGCAGGGGAGTGCAAACAAGGTGAGGGCTGAGCATGTGATTGCATACAAGGGGAGGGCTGGGCAGAGGAGTGCAAACAAGGTGAGGGCTGAGCATGTGATTGCATACAAGTGGAGGGCAGGGCAGGGGAGTGCAAACAAGGTGAGGGCTGAGCATGGGAGGGCGTGGCACATGTAGGCAGATCACTGGAGGGGCATAGAAGGGTTTAGGGATTGGCTATGGAGTTCATAGCACCGGCTTGGCAAAGCACATGAGGGCATAGCAATGGTGGGCACAGCACGAGAGGGCAGAGTACGGGAGTGCAGAACACAGGAGGGCTGAGCACAGGAGGGTAGAGCACCGGATGACAGAGCACAGGAGGGCATGGGAGGGCATGGTTTAGAGAATTTACACCACACTAGAAACATGTGCCCACCTTCGTCATGTGTGTTGAGTATTCCTTCGCCATGTTTGCGTCGGCGGCGTACTTCCTCTGCTCCTCGACCGTGCGGATCTTTGCCGCGCTAGAAGGGTCCACGTTGTGAAGGCTTTTATGGTGCACCTCACAGATAGAGCATGGCCTATTGGCGTTCTGTTGCTTGGTGCAGGTCACTCTGCACGTTTCAGGGAAATCAGCGACGTATGTGAACAGCTTCGGCCATACGGTGTACACATTCCCAAAGGGATCCGTGAGCGGAATTGACCTGCGGAATACATTAGAACTCGTTGGTTAGTCAGAGGCGGCCTCATTCCCATAGATAACCTATAAAAACGCGCGAAGATACCTACGTCTTGCACGCCTCATTGAGGGACTTCAGTATGACCTCACAACATCGCTGAAATAGAGTGGTTTTCTGTGCGGATGTCATGTCGGAATCTGGCAGCGGTAGAAGAGCGACGAGAGCATGTCCATGCTCACTCCATCGCACGCTCAAAGGTAGGTTGCTGAATGACAAGTACAACGGCCAGGCACGGCACCGTTCGTTGCCACTGAGGTGAGTCTCGTCGCTTGATAGGATTATTGGGCAAACACATTCCTTCGAGCCAAGTCCCTTCTGCCATACAAAAAAATGCACATGTTGAGTGTTCAAAGCCTATACAGTATATAGAATGATCCGACAATACAATGCAAAAGATTCACCTGGGACTCTATCCAGAAATCGCCAGTTTCAGTTCCGGCGTACACACGTTTACCATTAACCATCTTGCGGGCAGCTTTATGAATGAATCCCTTTTGATTGCGTGGATCAGCCCACATGCGTTTCAGCGCCTGTAAAGCATACCCATTAGTCATATGGTAAATATGTTATGCATGGAACAAAATAGCAAAACACCACCACCATCTACAGCAAGTCATCTATATTTACCTCTATCGGATCCAGGAACTTCACTTTGAAGGTTCGGTGCCAACCAGGCACTCGCACTATCACCGTCTTAAACACAATCTTCTCGATGCCAAACTCCTGGCACGCGTACTTGTCTATTGCATGTTGCCCGTTCCACTGCTCTAGCTGAGCAACGTCAAAATCCGGGTGCTTCACCAGCTTAAAAAAAGCCGCAACATCAGAACCCCTCATTCCGGATCCCCTATTGCACTGGGACAAGAACCTGAACGTCTCAAATCTTGTGTCGAACACCGGTGGCGAAACTGCCTCCTCATGGCCAAAATATGCCTCTGCATCCACGAACACTACATCCTCCTCATGTCCTGCCTCCTCCTCATCGCTTTCATTCCCTAACTCCACTTCCTCCACAGGTGGCAGCAATGGGGTTTCTACTCGGATGAATGGTTCATGCGGCTGCACAAGCACTCCGCGACGAGTCGTGGCCGACGAACCAGCAGATTCAAAGAACGCGTCGTCAGCGGGCGTGTTGAGGTGCATTTGCTCGTGGGCGACAAGGGCGGAATAGGTCTTCAATCTCTTACTGCAGCTGCGACATTTATAGTAGTGAATATCTGGCAAAAGGAGCAAGGCCACGAGCGAAGGTAACATACATCAGGATTTTAGTGACCGGTGGTCAAACATTAGTGATGAGGACGCAGGGTGGTAGCATGAATGTGCATGGTGAGTGAGATGGTGGTAATACGCATTGAGATAATCCTGATGGGTGGTAACACAACCCGAGCCGAGCATGAGGAGTGGAAGCACCCTCATTGATGAGCCTGCGGGGTGGTACCACACTGTGAGATGAGCATGAGAGGTGGTGACACGCATGATGATGAGCAATTCGGGAGGTAATCCGAACCAGGGTGTGTGTATGAGGGGTGGAAACACAACATGAGATGAGTATGAGGAGTGGAAGCACGCTTATTGATGAGCCTGCAGGGTGGAAACACAACATGAGATGAGCATGAGAGGTGGTAACACGCTTGTTGATGTGCCTGCAGGGTGGTAACATAACCCGAGCCGAGCATGAGGAGTGGAAGCACCCTCATTGATGAGCCTGCGGGGTGGTACCACACTGTGAGATGAGCATGAGAGGTGGTGACACGCATGATGATGAGCAATTCGGGAGGTAATCCGAACCAGGGTGTGTGTATGAGGGGTGGAAACACAACATGAGATGAGTATGAGGAGTGGAAGCACGCTTGTTGATGAGCCTGTAGGGTGGAACACAACATGAGATCAGCATGACGCCTACATCACACGCATGATGATGAGGGTGTGGGGAGGTAACCCGAATCAGGATGTGAGCATGAGGGGAGGTAACCCGAATCAGGATGTGAGCATGAGGGGAGGTAACATGCATTGCGATGAGCATGCGGGGTGGTATCACAATCTGAGATCAGCACGAAGGATGGCAGCACGCATGAATGTGAGCATGTGGGGTGGTAATCGGAATCTAGGCATGGTCAGAGTGCCTGAGGTCAATTACCTGTTTGAGCATCATCAGTCGGGTCCATGATGTTGAGCGTACCTGTTGCGGGGACAAGAGGGAGAAGAGGAGTACCAAGGGAAGGTGATTGGGAGTGGAAAGGAGGAGTAGTCAGGAGGGGGAGGTGGGAGAGGAGGCGTTGGGGCGGTGCATCTGCCGCTTTGACAACATCTTCTACCCCGTGCACCCCGGAACAATGCAGTATACTGTCTTGAGTTGCTCTGGAAGGGGGATAAGAACAATACAAGAAGAAGATGAGGGAAAGGTGATAGAACCTTAGTTCCCGAGGCGCCTCTCTCCGTGCGCTCGCTCCCACGATCCGCATTCACAGCGAGCGCACCTCCCGAGGCGCCTCTCTCCGTGCGCAAGCTCCCACAATCCGCATTCACAGCGAGCGCACCTCCCGAGGTGCCTCTCTCCGTGCGCTCGCTCCCACGATCCGCATTCACAGCGAGCGCACCTCCCAAGGCGCCTCTCTCCGTGCGCTCGCTCCCACGATCCGCATTCACAGCGAGCGCACCTCCCAAGGCGCCTCTCTCCGTGCGCTCGCTCCCACGATCCGCATTCACAGCGAGCGCACCTCCCAAGGCGCCTCTCTCCGTGCGCTCGCTCCCACGATCCGCATTCACAGCGAGCGCACCTCCCAAGGCGCCTCTCTCCGTGCGCTCGCTCCCACGATCCGCATTCACAGCGAGCGCACCTCCCAAGGCGCCTCTCTCCGTGCGCTCGCTCCCACGATCCGCATTCACAGCGAGCGCACCTCCCAAGGCGCCTCTCTCCGTGCGCTCGCTCCCACGATCCGCATTCACAGCGAGCGCACCTCCCAAGGCGCCTCTCTCCGTGCGCTCGCTCCCACGATCCGCATTCACAGTGAGCGCACCTCCCAAGGCGCCTCTCTCCGTGCGCTCGCTCCCACGATCCGCATTCACAGCGAGCGCACCTCCCAAGGCGCCTCTCTCCGTGCGCTCGCTCCCACGATCCGCATCCACAGCGAGCGCACCTCCCAAGGCGCCTCTCTCCGTGCGCTCGCTCCCAAGATCCGCATTCACAGCGAGCGCACCTCCCAAGGCGCCTCTCTCCGTGCGCTCGCTCCCACGATCCGCATTCACAGCGAGCGCACCTCCCAAGGCGCCTCTCTCCGTGCGCTCGCTCCCACGATCCGCATTCACAGCGAGCGCACCTCCCAAGGCGCCTCTCTCCGTGCGCTCGCTCCCACGATCCGCATTCACATCGAGCGCACCTCCCAAGGCGCCTCTCTCCGTGCGCTCGCTCCCACGATCCGCATTCACAGCGAGCGCACCTCCCAAGGCGCCTCTCTCCGTGCGCTCGCTCCCACGATCCGCATTCACAGCGAGCGCACCTCCCAAGGCGCCTCTCTCCGTGCGCTCGCTCCCACGATCCGCATTCACAGCGAGCGCACCTCCCAAGGCGCCTCTCTCCGTGCGCTCGCTCCCACGATCCGCATTCACAGCGAGCGCACCTCCCAAGGCGCCTCTCTCCGTGCGCTCGCTCCCACGATCCGCATTCACAGCGAGCGCACCTCCCAAGGCGCCTCTCTCCGTGCGCTCGCTCCCACGATCCGCATTCACAGCGAGCGCACCTCCCAAGGCGCCTCTCTTCGTGCGCTCGCTCCCACGATCCGCATTCACAGCGAGCGCACCTCCCAAGGCGCCTCTCTCCGTGCGCTCGCTCCCACGATCCGCATTCACAGCGAGCGCACCTCCCAAGGCGCCTCTCTCCGTGCGCTCGCTCCCACATTCCGGATCGGCATAGCTTTGTGCTAGTCTCAACTCATACTCTTACCTTGACTGGTGCTGTATCCGCCACGGAGTGTCACTAACACAAGGAGGGAGTTCACGCATAAGCTAGTGTCAGATCTGCTTCATACGATAACTGCGCATGTTTAAACTTCGACCGTTGAACAAAGGCCATGGTGGGCCAAACCTGAATGTGTTTGTCACATGGGAGCAGCAATAGATGGACGGCCTGTATTTGTTGGAAATTGCTGCAGCAATCATTGCTGCAGCCTATCAGTTCATGCTGCCTTCCAGATTTCAATGGCTTGTTCTTGGTGTTTTGCATGGCACCACAAGTTCTGGTGCAAGTTGTTTGAGTGAATGAGATGAGGTGTGATCTAGATTCTTGGGTGTTGCATGTACCTAGACAAGTTGCCTTGCTTAGCAAGGACTAAACAACCAATCGGTGTCACTCTCACCAAGTGTTGGAATGTGCACAAACTTCTCCCATGATGAACCATCCCAAATTCAGAATGACTTGTTTTTTGTGTTTTGCATGTCACCACAAGTTCTGCTGCAAGTTGTTTGAGTGAATGAGACTACTGTAGGTGTGATCAGGAGGTGTTACAAGTTGCCCTGCCCACCATGCAACCAACAATCAATTGGTGTAGGGCATCATCATCATGGCTAGCGTGGTGGTCCTTCAATTGTCCTTCCATGTGAGGCAATGGGCTTTCTGGCTAGTATGGCACTTTCCCCACAAGGACAAATCTATGGTACACTGTTTTTTTTTTTCACAATACAGACGTGTATGTGAAGCTCCTTGTACCGATACACATTTACCAAACAACCAACACGGGAATATAATGATGTAAACCACAAGGCTATAACGAGTATCTCTCAACCACGCATCTTTGTTCAGTAAGTGTGGGGGGCAACTATTAATATAGTGTGAAATTCCTCTGTAATCAATTATTGATTCCATGAATGTTGACAAAGCATGGGGCATTGTGTTGAGATTTTCTCCGTTCCTAATCAGAAAGTCCAATCATAAAGTCTACGAACAATTCTAGGCGGTTAACTCTTCTGCGTGTTCGAACGCAAGGTTGGTGTTCACTACGACGATACATTTGATCATGTAAGCTACCACACATCACTCCGCATTCTGCACGCTTTCTTAACAGCACCCAGTGTTCTAATTCGCCAAATTGACGTGTCAACAGGACTCCTTTTCGCGCTCGGCGAAACATGTACAGACCTAGACACACTTTTCCTAAGGTAAGATCCTAAGGGTATCTCTCAGCCCAACAACCCCATACTTCGTGACTTAAAATTAAGGAGTATTCAACTTCTCGGTTTTTGCATGCATGGTGCTTCAACGGCGATAACATCTACGGTACATGTAACTACAGCGGCTACTCCAAATTGGTGTGTTAATTCACAACAAGTCTCTGTTCGACAATGCGGTTTTTTGTTATCCAAAGTTGCTTGGCTGTCTGATTTGTCCATAGCGGCCATGTGCCGACCAAACTTATTTTGCAACGCTCTCCAGCCCTATCAACATCATACGAGTGATCGTGGCCTTGCGAAGAATCACTCCACAACGGGAGTGTGTTAACGGGCGTTGAATGGTGGCCCCCCTCCTCGCTTGGGCAACGCCAACTGCGACTTGGTCGGATGTACGAGAGAAGCAGCCGACCGTCCGCAGTGAGAGATGTCGAAGGAAGTTGGCCCCGCCCTCGCATGGGCAAAACTGACTTCGTGGTCGGGTGTGCGGAAGGTGCCGCCGACCTTGTGCAGGTGTACAAGGGTTGCCTGTACGCATGTTGTACTAAGGAATCCATGCAAGAGTAACTATAGCATCCGCGGGTGCAACACAGACCTCCCGTGCGCATGTGCAAGTTGCGCAGCTCGTGTAGAAGTTCGCGGGTGTTCATCTGCGCAGGGTCGCATCTGACCCTGTGCACCCTTAAGACTACACAGGCGGTTTTTGGCCAGAAATTCGAATGTGCCCTAATTTCGACCAATCAGGGGCTGACATTTTGAAATGTCAACTGAGGTGCTCAATGAAGGTGCTCGACGAAGGACGTCGAGCAGCGACGATGGAGGTCGTCAACCCGAGACGACAAAGGTCGTCCACCGGTGATGACGAATGTCATCACCCCACAGAGATGTCAGGGACTTCATCTACTTGACCAAGTTACCTGCTCGAAGAGTGCGCGAAGGTGTGCGAAAGTCGTCGAGGCTGCTGTGGTGAAGTCGACCAACGCGGCAGCACGAGGTCGACGTGGCTCATCATGTGCAACCGTCAGCATGTGGATGCAATGTTTGCAAGCCGCGCGGATGCTGCGTTGGCAAGCCGTGCGAGTGCAGCGTTGGCAAGCCGCCATCTGCAGCGTTGGCAAGTCGCGTACGAGCTGCGTTGGCGGACCGCAGACTTGCTTCGTTGGCAGGTCGACGACTCGGTCGTGCTGGCGATTGACGTGCCTGAGTGCTGGCAAACCCTGCATGTGATGTAGTCAATCTTTGCCATTGCTTGTTCATTCTGAACTTTGTATTCTCAGCATTCCTTAGTGAAACTCTTGTTGTTTTGCCCTGTGAAAACACAAGTCCTAGAGAACACAGACAGAGCTACGAGCACGCTGACAAATCGTGCCAACCCTGTAGTCTATCTCCCACCGTTGTTATAGTTAGGGCGTCTCCCAGTTCGGGTCAAGAGTACTGTTCGGGTCATCCGAGTATCTTGGATGACCAGTGGTATTCTAGCAGTATAGCTGAAATGCACCCTATTGGTCGTCCAAGAATTTCGGATGACCCGAACAGTACTCTTGACCCGAACTGGGAGACGCCCTTAATCTCCTCAAAGGAGCTGCTCGACAGGCGTCGTCGAGCAGAAGAGTGCCAATGTGGGGTTTCCGTCGACCATGGGTGGTCGACGGGCGCAACCGACTGGGCTTGGGCGACGGGTGGGCCGTCGTCCAAGAGTGCAAGTTCGACGGAACTGTCCGTCGACCTGACAAGTGAGCAGCGGTCGACGAGGGGAGCTCGGCGATCGACAACGGTTGATAGTGCTGGTCGACGGAAGGGGTTGGTCGACCCGGGAGATGCTTGAAGGGAGCTGTGGTCGACCGGAGTACTTGGTGCTCGACCAGAGGCACCTGGTGGTCGACCAGAGGCACCTGGTGGTCGACCGGAGGCACTGGTGGTCGACCAGAGCACCTGGAGGTGTGCATGTCGACCAGGTAACCTGCTCGGCGAGTTTGGCGGAGGCACACGAACGTCGTTGCGGTCACGATGATGAAGGTGACTTTTGGCTAGAATCCCGAAGTCGATGTGGCTCGTCAGGCGCAGACAACATCCGACCCATGCACAGTAATGCAAGTCGGGCTAATCGTCTGCGCGCACCCGTGACCGTGCGTAATGCTATCTTCTACGGGGCTACTGTGGACAGCCGCCCTGCTGCGGCGTTGGCACGCCGTCGACCTGCTTTGCTGGTAGGTCGCCCTTCTGCAGTGCTGGCGTGACTCCTCTACGCAACGCTGGCAGGCGGTCGACCATGCAGTGCTGGCGGTCGACCAGGCTAGCTGCAGAGTTGCTAGGTGCCTGATGTAGTCAATCCTGTCCTTGCTTGTTCGATCATCCAAAAATTCCAACTTTGCTAGTGGATATTTTGCTAGATTCTCCCGTTAATGTGCAGGCATTTGCGCATATAACAAGTAGGTGCAGTTAGGCATATTGCGCAGGTGCCAGGTAGAACGCGTGGCGGCAGTTTCTACAGCCATGCACCGTCGGGTACGTGATGACGCCTCGCAGGTTGACTTCTCCTAAACCTCATGGGCGACATTCGCCTACGCATCGCATATCGCAGTCTAGTGACTTACGTTGACCATTTTGACGATCCTCTGTCGAAACGTGTTCGCTTAGTCGTGCATGTCAAATGGCGCCCGTATACCAGCACCTCAATACAGACGCGTCGACTAGCGTCCTTTGCGAGTTCGTCGACCGCGTCCTCGGCGAACAGAATATTTGTCGACTCCTGCGCGCGGTCAAGATCTACTTCCGTGCGCGGTTGACGCCGTCTTCTGTGCGCGGTCGACGACGTCTTCCGCGCGATCGACGTCGTCTCTTGTGAGCAGGTTGACGTCGTGCACCCAACTGCGGAGTCTGCTTCACCTGGGGCGAGAGCGAGGCCATGTCCCATCAACGGGCCTTCCTTGTGTTGTCACCACTTGCTTGTTCATAGAAGGAGGTGGCCAAAGTTTCAAAATTAAGATACTACACGGGCTGACGAAGTAGAGTTGGCGAACGGAGATAAGTCACTATCCTGTGGACGACGGACACGATCGTCACTAACAATGCAAGTTGTGAAAGTGAACAACTTGCCGTTGGAAGTATACGTATAAGTGTCGACCTGAAGCCGCGTGTGGTGCTGTGGGAGACCACTATAGGTGTCTGACACATTGCATTGTGATATGTTTGCGACAAGGAGTATGGAGAGGTAATATGTATGTTTAAGGTAATATGTAGCAAACTATTATTTCATAGGTTTGGTGTTGCATCGTAGTTGTTACAACGAGCTAGAGTAGGTACTGCAAACTCGAACACCTGATTGGTCTGCCGTCGATCACCAGCCTCACTGGTTCCTCGCGCTACTGGTTCGAGTAACGAATTCAGCTTTTTGAAAGAGCGTCTTGGATGTGAAGCCTAGTCCACGCTGTAAGATCCACCGGTTCGGATTCTTCCACAGTCTTTGTATCAGTGAGCACCGTTCGATAAAACGTGCAGCATCGACGGTCAAGCGGAAACATCGGAATGCACCTCTCCTCACCCCTTTACCCGAAGCGCCCAATCTGTCTAGCAGTTCTCTCCTTCCTCTCTCCGTCGACCACATCTCTTCATTTTCGCCATCACATTTTCGACATTTGGCCTCGATAGCTCTAGTCACAATACTCAAGCTAATGCTGCAAAATGGACCCGTTTTGACTCCTCACGTGCATTCCCTCTCATTTAGCGTGCGGTTATAACACTCTCCAGACAATTTCTCTGTGTATCCGCCGACTTAGCTACAGAAACTACCGCAGATCGACAATGTCTTCAGGTCACACAGGCACGTTCATTCCGAGTGCACTCCCTATGAGAGCGGACCCTGCAGGCAATAATTCGCAGCCATGCCTGCATAGTAATCGCTCCAGTGGCGGCAACCAGGCACAGAAAAATGTGTCTGGTATTGTCAATGTTGAAGCCAATGGTGTGGACGAAGGTACGACCCCATCACCAGTCCCATCGATGGCATATAACCCTTCCCTTCAGCTTTTGCCAGTTGTCGATAGGCTCTTTCTCAAGCTGCTCCTTTCCCCATCGTTTTTGCAGGAAACAAGTTTGTTTCGCTGAACCATGTCTCCCGCAACTCCCCAAAAAAGCGCCAAGCTCCGACAAAGTCGAAGCGTGGAGAGCGGAGGGGGAAAGGAGTTTCGGCCGCCCCCGCATGTGGAAATCAACCGCAGCCGCGACAGTGGAGCGAGGCTGTGGCGCAGACAGCAATTCTTGCCGCAGCTTTTTCCGGCCGTCCTCAGCGTTACACCATGGCCGCGAACGCTGTCTTATCGCCATCACAGCCACGCCCTGGACTCCCTGCCGGCTCTACCCACCCCTCAGCTGCCGCCGCTGCCTCCGCCGATGCGCGTGCTTCATCCCACCTTCTCGCATCGCTTCCTCAGTCCAGCCCCGGTCTTCTCTCCGCCTCTGTCTCCCCCTCAGCTCCCGCCGCGGCTATCTCACCCTCCTCCGCCAATCCGCCTGCTCCATCCCACCTTCTCGCATCGCTTCCTAAGTCCAGCCCCGGTCTTGCCTCCGCCTCTGTCTCCCCCTCAGCTCCCGCCGCGGCTATCTCACCCTCCTCCGCCTATGCGCCTGCTTCATCCCACCTTCTCGCATCGCCTCCTCAGTCCAGCCCCGGTCTTCCCTCCGCCTCTGTCTCCCCCTCAGCTCCCGCCGCGGCTATCTCACCCTCCTCCACCTATGCGCCTGCTTCATCCCACCTTCTCGCATCGCCTCCTCAGTCCAGCCCCGGTCTTCCCTCCGCCTCTGTCTCCCCTTCAGCTCCCGCTGCGGCTATCTCACCCTCCTCCGCCAATCCGCCTGCTTCATCCCACCTTCTCGCATCGCTTCCTCAGTTCAGCCCCGGTCTTCCCTACGCCTCTGTCTCCCCCTCAGCTCCCGCCGCGGCTATCTCACCCTCCTTCGCCAATCCGCCTGCTTCATCCCACCTTCTCGCATCGCTTCCTCAGTCCAGCCCCGGACTTGCCTCCGCCTCTGTCTCCCCCTCAGCTCCCGCCGCGGCTATCTCACCCTCCTCCGCCTATGCGCCTGCTTCATCCCACCTTCTCGCATCGCCTCCTCAGTCCAGCCCCGGTCTTCCCTCCGCCTCTGTCTCCCCTTCAGCTCCCGCTACGGCTATCTCACCCTCCTCCGCCAATCCGCCTGCTTCATCCCACCTTCTCGCATCGCTTCCTCAGTTCAGCCCCGGTCTTCCCTACGCCTCTGTCTCCCCCTCAGCTCCCGCCGCGGCTATCTCACCCTCCTCCGCCTATGCGCCGGCTTCATCCCACCTTCTCGCATCGCCTCCTCAGTCCAGCCCCGGTCTTCCCTCCGCCTCTGTCTCCCCTTCAGCTCCCGCCGCGGCTATCTCACCCTCCTCCGCCTATGCGCCTGCTTCATCCCACCTTCTCGCATCGCCTCCTCAGTCCAGCCTCGGTCTTCCCTCCGCCTCTGTCTCCCCTTCAGCTCCCGCCGCGGCTATCTCACCCTCCTCCGCCTATGCGCCTGCCTCATCCCACCTTCTCGCATCGCCTCCTCAGTCCAGCCCCGGTCTTCCCTCCGCCTCTGTCTCCCCTTCAGCTCCCGCCACCCTCCTCCGCCTATGCGCCTGCTTCATCCCACCTTCTCGCATCGCCTCCTCAGTCCAGCCCCGGTCTTCCCTCCGCCTCTGTCTCCCCCTCAGCTCCCGCCGCGGCTATCTCACCCTCCTCCGCCTATGCGCCTGCTTCATCCCACCTTCTCGCATCGCCTCCTCAGTCCAGCCGCGGTCTTCCCTCCGCCTCTGTCTCCCCCTCAGCTCCCGCCGCGGCTATCTCACCCTCCTCCGCCTATGCGCCTGCTTCATCCCACCTTCTCGCATCGCCTCCTCAGTCCAGCCCCGGTCTTCCCTCCGCCTCTGTCTTCCTCCCAGCCACCCTTGCTGCTCTCTCGCCCTCCTCCGCCTATGGGCATGCTCCCTCCTCTCGTCTCACCCCGTTCACACAGACCACCGGTCTTCCCTCCGCCATCGCCTCACAAGCTACCCTTTCCGCTCTCTCACCCTTCCTTGCTGGTGTGCAAGCTTCAGCACATGCCCGCACCTCACCTTTACAATCTGGTCTCCCTTTCCCCGTCGCTTCCCTCCCTGCTACCTTCGGAGCTCTCTCACCCTCTTCCGCCTATGGGTTCAATTCCTCCCACCCTCTCACCTCACCTCTACAGTCATGCCCTGTTAATGGCTCCGCCTCCGCCACTGCAGCCGCTACACAGACTCCGTCTTTCATCCGTTCTCATCCTTCGTCCGGCCAGCTTGCTGCTGCCGCTTTCTTATCCCCTGGACTAGCATCAGCCTCGGCCTTCCCTCTTCGTGCTCCTGCTGCTCGCTCCCCCACTTCGGCCGTGACGCTGCGAGCTCTGCCTTCAGTTTCCCCCGCACCCTCTTCTTCAACGCCCCTTTCCGCCTCCCATCTGCCACAGGCAGTACGGCCGTGGAATCTTCGGCCACGCAAGCAGAAGTCCACTTCCACCGACCTGCCTCCAACAGAGGTTGATGGCCAAAATCTTGAAGAAGAGTCAGATGATGACTCGCTTTTTGATTATGGTCCCGAGAGGGAATCCGGGGGCGTTGCTGCACCACACCATGGTGCATCGAGGGGCCTTCGCGCCCAACTGGAAGCATCGCAGGCAGAACGCCGTGCTCTGGCTCGTCGTGTGATGGAGCTGGAGAACGAGCGTATTCATAAATCACCGCATCAGCCCTCGCAGGGAGTGGGTAATTCCAATCCAACCCTTGTCCAGCACGATGTTACCATCCCTGCTGCCCCCCATGATCACCCCATCTCTGCCTCGCCCACTCCTCCAGCCCTTACTCCCAACAGCATTGCACCCTCCAGCCAGCCCTCTTTAGTTCTCCCCCTCTCTCCATCCAACGTGGTGTGGCCGCGCACTCAAGCGGCTTTTTGTCGTGCGGTGGCAAGGGCACATGCTCGCAGGGAGTTGATTGACTGCTCGAGAATGAGCCAACGGCAACGAGAGTGGGTAGTGAAAATGATTACTTCACTGGATGCTGTTCCGGATGTGCGTGGTGGCCTTGCGGTGAGTCTTGCAGAGCTTTTTGTAGTGTTCTCATGCCTCTGTACCCTCCCCTCGCCATTCCATTCTTGAAATACAAGCGTCTCATGTTTGTTCTTGTAGTGAAGCTTTTTATTGCCACATACCCACCTTTCACCACCCCCACCACTCATTCTTCCCAAACTCTCATCCTCCCCCTTTTTCCACCCATCTTTCCCTCCTTTCACCTTCCATACTATCTCTCTTTTCCTGCTTGCCACTTAGACGCCCATCAAAGAGGCTGTTGACATCATTTTCTTTTGCACTAACCTCCACGACTTCACGATGTACCCTAGCCGCAAACGGAAGGAGTCAGCTTTATCCTTAGCACTAGATCTCATTGAGCCAGAAGAGCAGGACATTGTCGCTGTTGTTCTTGCCGCCGATCCCTATCGGAGCTCGTACTACACCAAGATCATCCAGGAGTTCCGAAACGATGCGCTGACTCATGGGCGCAACTGGGTTTACAATTTCTTCGACCTGCTAGTGCCAAGGCCGAAGCTTGGCGGGAAAAAGACAGGTCGAACGACTCTGGCAATGTTCCTAGCCCTCTATGGAGCTAGTGAGTCTCTTTTCCTTTTTTACCCTTCTCCATTTTACCCACTCACGTACCATTCTCCCATTTCCACCATTGGAATTCCTTCTCCTGGAAACGTCTACAAATTCCTCACCCGATTTTTCAATCTCATCACATATTATTTCACTCAAACTCATCTTTCCTCTTTACCTTACAAAAACCCTCAAGCCTCGTCCCCTTCAGCAATATCCCCTTCCCCCCCCCCCCCCCCCTTTCCTCCCTCCCCTTCCCCCACCCCTACCCTAAACCAGGGTTTGCCCTTCCTTCTACCTCGCAAGTTCACACGCTATTGTCACACTCTTAGACGCCCCGTACCCTCTCTGAAATTCCACATTTTCTTCCCCCACACCGACAGGTCCACCATTTTATAACGTCCTCACTCTCTCCCTCTCCCTCTCCCCCTTCCTTTCTCCCTCTCCCTCTCCCTCTCCCTCTTCCCCTCTTTCCTCTCCCTCTTCCCCTCTCGCTCTCCCTCTTCCCCTCTCCCTCTCCCTCTTCCCCTCTTTCCTCTCCCTCTTCCCCTCGCCCTCTCCCTCTTCCCCTCTCCCTCTCCCTCTTCCCCTCTCCCACTTCCTCTTCCACTCAAGGAGCTCTCTGAAACTCCCTCTCCTATGGGCGTCGCAAAAATCGATGCGTGTCCTCTTTGAATTCCCTTTCATTATCCGTTCTCTCTTTGAGTCTCCCCTATTTCCTCTCGCATAAACAAGTAGTCGGCTTCTCCCCTCTTTCATTGTTTGGCACTACCAACCCTCCCCCCCTCCTTCTCCCCTCTTTCCTCCCTCTCCCCCCACCCCAAACAGCCCCTGCACCCCATTCCACCCTCGCGAGTTAAATCACTGTTTTCAATCATTGAAACTCCCCCTCACCTTTGAAATCCCACTCTCTTCCCACACACCGACCAGCACATCTTACAACTTCCTCACTCGCCCTCTCCCTCGCCCTTTACCTCTTCCCCTCTCCCTCTCTCGTTTCCCCCTACAGAATTGCATCAAGAATCCCCTTCTCTTCGCCATGCTGAAAATCCCATGCCTCGTCCCTTGTAACTATTCTTACCGCCCCCCAAGTCTCCCCTCCTGCCCTCGCAGCAATAAGTTGTCACTCTTTCCAACCCTCTTAAGCCATCACTCTCAACCCTCCCCACCCTTCTCCCTCCCCCCTTCTCCCTCCCCACCCCTTCCACCAGCCCCTGCTTGCCACCCCTTCTTGCTCGCAAGTTCCCTCGCTGTTTTCACCCTATGAAACGCCTCCTCTCTGAAATCCCACTCTCTTTGCCCACACCTACAGGTGCAGCATCTTTCAATTGCCTCATATGGCACATGAATAAGTTCAGAGTGCCCTTCTCCGAACCGTGCTTCATCGATGCAATCGTTGCATCAATCAAGCGACCCAAGGGTCGCGCTCTGATTCTCCCTTTGAAGCTATTGGCCTTTTGGATCCATGGGGTGAGTTGAACTTTTTACAGTTCTCGCTTATCTTATTTATGCAACAGCTAATCTTTGCCATTGCTTCATTACAGGTCGAGCTCAGAATCTCTGAGAATGACAAGAACAAGTCAAAGAGCTCATCAGATAACCACCGTGATGTGAATGTTTACTTCAACGACATCTGGAACTGGGCTAAAGCTGCAATAAGGGCGGCGACAGCACAGAATGGGCCTTGGTGGAGGGCGGACGTAAAGGCATGGGCATTCGTTCGCAGCGATTTGGTTTTCATCAGTGCTGAGGGTCTTGAAGACCTTGTTCCCCGCGCATTTCCTTACCCTATTGGCTAGCTATTTGCTTGTTGATGTGTACTTGTAGCTACTGAAGGGTTGTTGAATTACAAAATATGACAATTAATAAATTTAAATACAATAGTAATAAAATTCTAGCAAATGGAAAAAAAAACAGAATTTGTAATATTTGCGAATAGCATTGTATCGAAAAAACATGATTTTTTATACCAGTCGTGAAAATAACAATGTCGAAAGTGTAGCGCTAGTTTATCATTATTCACGGCCGCCCGATTAAATATATAGTCACAAATTAAATCTGGATGCACATTGGGAAATATAAGAGTCGAACGGATTGGTGTTATGGCATAAAAGCAGATAGCGATCTTGCGCAAAATGAAGATTGAACACACCAACACAGAACACGTGTCGATCAATTGGCAAGTCCAAGAAACACGGCTGCTTTCTCTTTCATTCCCGCTTTCAGGGAGGGCCAATAGCCTTGAATTCCGAACCTAGACGAAGTCGAATTTGTTTGGTTCCTCGAGTCCGGGAGTGTACTGGCCGAGTTCTGCATTCACGGACCTCAGAAAGTAGAATGAGGCGTAACCTCAAACCTACTTTCGAAACACTAACGCCAGCGTAACTCCAACAGTTACTTCGAACTTAGTTTTGCCCCTCTGGTTTTTTCGGACGAAGTAGCCCTACTAGCGACGGGAGTAGCAAACGACCCGTAAGTCCAAACGCCAACGCCTGCTCGTTTTACTAGTAGCCCAACTCCTACTGAAGAGCCTCGGTGCCACCGCCGCAGTGCGAGTTTAGTACTACTAGTAGTACTAGTAGTACTATCGATGATGGTCCGCGGCCGCGCTCTGGTTGCATGGTGGATTGCCACCCTTGTCGCCGCACCCCTCGTCGACGCGCAGCCCCTCAACCCCACGCAAGGTGAGAGGCGCTCGAACTGCAGTGCTCTGGAGGTCTGATACCACGAAGCCGCCCACGTCGCGGCCAAGGGCAAAAAGCTGCTAATATGTTACAACGAGTCCTTCTGGATTTGGAATCCAGGGTGTTTTCGAGGCAACGTCCGAAGCTTGTCGTACTAGTACAACACTACAGTGTGCGTGGCGTACCACTAGCAGAACGATTGTCATACCTACTACAGAGGGGATTGGCCGCTTCGAAAATTCAAGAACGTGCAATGATTGAAGTCCTCACCTTTACTATCTTCTCGCACCCCCACGGCCTGTGGCAGCTCTGGTCCTGCAGGACATCCAATCGGCGTGGGGGAAGACCTTTACTGGTTGGAGTGAGGTCGTATCCCAGCCTCCGGTCAAGAAGTTGAGGTCATGACACCAACTCGTTCTAGGCATGTGATTGGTCCAAAAACTACTTGCGACCAATCGCATTGGCCTAGCATTTGTTTTGGACTAATCGCGTGCCTACAATAAGTTGGTGTCATGACCTCAACTTCTTGACCGGAGGCTGGGATACGACCTGATACCAATCCCGACTGCAGCACTACTGACTTCATCACCTGCGACGACAGTGGGATGATAACGAAACTGTGAGACTCATTGTGTCACCTGAGAAATTTTATCACGGGGAAGCTCCCCTTTCCGCCCTTGCACGGGATGAACTGCACTTCAAGATAAAGGACCAAACAACCTTGTGATGTGATGTGAGAATTCAGTGCGCTTTCATCATATCGTATCATTTTCTCTTCATCATTTTCTCTTGATACATCAGAAAAATGTCGGGAGAATTTCCGGCAGTATTTGGGTGAAACTGCAGGAGTTGTCAGGAGAAATTGGTGGGTTTCCATGCGCCCCGTAAATGGAGTGGCATATAGCCCGAGACCGTCTATTTCCGCGCAGGGTGCGAGCGGCTGGTTACGGGCCTGCTTTGTGCTACAGTACCCTCTAACATAGGGATGTAAGCGGTCGAAGTTGGTGACTTGCGCCTGTTTGGGGCGGTTGAAAATCGAGCAGTTTACGGTGGCGCAGTTCTTGGCCATTTTGGTACCACCCAGGTTTTGGTGGGGAACGAGAGGAGCTGGGCGAGTTCGCCAGTTTTTGGGGTGATGTCGCGTAGTAAGCGACTGCCTGCTTGTTGGCTCCAAGATTATTGGACACACAGGGTTACTGTTACAGCTAAATACACTTCGTTACCACAATGTACACCTCAATTCACATTTGTCCGGAAAATTCCGCATATCGTAAACTAGTAAATTCAATTCGATTTCATTTTTATTAACTAGTGAATCAATTATTACAATTACATTTTTTATGTATTCTGGTTATCGTTAGAAAAGTGGTCA